AATTAGCTACTTTTATTTAATTAAGTAGTTCTAAGTAAATTAAGTAAATTTATTGAAGTAATTGAATTAATCAAATTCATTTAATTTAATTGGTTAAATTTATTTAATAGATGTAATTGATGTAATTCAATTAAAATGAAAATAAAATAAAAATAAATAAACAATTTAAGGCAAATAAATTGAGACGAATTTGTGAAAGAAAAACGTACCAAAGATAATAATAACTAAAAATAAAATAAGACACAAAATATAAATAAATATTCAAAGTAAAAACCCTCAATAATGAATAATAAATAATAAATAAAAGCAACAATAAACACAAATAACATAAAACAAAACAAATAAAATAAGTTAAAAAATAACATAAAATAAAGAAATAAAGTAAAGAAAATAAATAAAAAAAATAAATGGAACAAACTAAAATAAACAAATAAAATAAAGTAAGTAAATAAAATAAAAAAATAAATAAAACAAGTTTTTACTTCTAGGCTTCTTTGCTGCTGGGTGTCTAGACACCCGAGAGTGAGTGCGAGGTGGATTTCTTTTTTTTCTTTTTTTAATTCTTCAATTTGCTGCTCCAGAATTTCCTGCTGCAGCATAAGATCATTTAAAACTTTTATTTGCTTCTTGTTCAACTCCGTCTGCGCCTTCAGCTGCTGCTGCTCTTGCTGCTGCTGCTGCAGCTGCTGCTGCAGCAGCACCGTCTCCTCGCGAAGCGCAGCCAGCGGCCCTGCAGCAGCAGCAACAGCAGCAGCAGCAGCAGCAGCAGCAGAAGCGGAAAATGTATATAAGTAAATAATGAAGAATTTAAGAACAAATAGTTAAGTAATAATTTCTAAATAAATGAATACTGAATAAATAAATAACAAATAATAGATAAATAATAAGTCACGACAAAAAAAGAAATAAAAAATAAAAGCATCAATAAAGTAAATAAACAAAAGCGAGAAAAAAGAAACAAAGAAACAGATGAATAAATAAATAATAACAGAATGAATAAATAAATGAAAAATAAATAAAAATAAATAAAAATAAAAATAAATAAATAAAAATAAATAAATAAAAATAAATAAGTGGAGTTGAATTCGTTGTATATACACCCGAAAGGCTCTTGTTGATTGCATGCATTTCAGCGAGGGTTTTCAAACTTCTTGTTTCCACATGTTTCAGTTCTTCTTGTTCTTTCTAAACACAAACCCTAAACCCTAAACCCTAAACCCTCGGGATGGCAGGCTAGCTAGTTTGCCGCGAGCGACCAGTGAGAGTTTAGGGTTTGAAGCTTCTTGCGGCTGGCCGTGAAGGCTTCAACACTTACGGGCTAGGGTTTAGGGTTTAGGGTTTAGGGTTTAGGGTTTACGGGTTGGAATTGGGGTTTAGTGTAACTGGCTGCGAAGGCTTTACGGCAAAGGGCAGAGGGTGTAGGGTATAGGTTGAGGGTTTAGGGTTTAGGGTTTAGGGTTTAGGGTGTAGGGTTTGGACTTTGAGTTGGCGAATGAGAGACAAACTGGCAGCAGTGACATCACTGAAATATCTTTTTGTGTTTTGCGCAACTCTTTTGCTTTCTTGCTGCTGCTGGCTGCAGACAAAAACAAAAGACAAAAAAGGGTTTAGGGTTTAGGGTTTAGGGTTTAGGGTTCAGGGTTTGGGGCTTAGGGTTTGGGGCTTAGGGCTTGGGGTTTAGGGGTTACGCTTTAGGTTTTAGGCTTTAGCGTTTGGGGTTTAGGTTCTAGGGTTTGGCGCTTAGGGTTTAGGGTTTAGGGTTTAGGGTTTAGGGTTTAGGGTTTAGGGTTATCTGATTTGTTCGCTTCTTCGCGGATCCATCCCTTTCTCGAAATGTGCAAAAGCAAGTATAAGAGCAAATGAAGAAAATAAATTAAAAATAAACAAATAAATATAAATAAATTAAATAAATAAAAATAAATAAAAATAGATAAACAAAAATCAATAAAATTAAATTAAAAACAAATAAATAAAAATAAATAAATAGTAATTGGCCCACGCTATTTGCTGCGTCTTCTGTTCTTCTAAATTACTTATTAGTCTTCGCATTGCTCTTTCTTTTGTTTCCCGAAGCTGAGACATACCCTAAACCCTAAACCCTAAACCCTTTTTCAAAGGCAGCCCTCTAAGCTGCCCCTAGTTGCCATTTGGAGTTGTGCGTGTCCACTAGTTCAGGCTCTAGGGTTTAGGGTTTAGGGTTTAGGGTTTAGGGTTTGGAGTTTGGGGTTTCAGGATTTGGGATTTTCAGGGTTTAGGGTTTAGGGTTTAGGGTTTAGGGTTTACCTTGTTGAGTTGGAGGTTGTGTTTGAGGAGGAGATCGGCTTCTTTTTTTTCTTTCAACTTTCTCAATTTATTTAATTCTTTGTCATGTTGCATGCGCACAGCCCCCAGCAGCAGGATGCGGTGGGCCTGGGTCTGAATTGTTTGAATTAAATGAATTTGAATGAATTTAAATGAATTTAAATGAATTTTGGACGAATTTAATTTAATTATTCTGTTTAATTTGTTTCAAACTGTTCAAAAGAATTCGAAAAAAATAAAAAAGGAAAGAAAATGATAAAATGCAACTCTAATCAATTTATGGACACACAGCACTCCACTTCTTCTTGAACTTCTTATTTATTTATTTATTTATTTATATTTATTTATTTATTTTTTTATTTATTATTTGATTGTTTATATTTGTTCCTTCATTTCCACTTTTTGTTTGCCAGTGTGAGGTGTATGTACACCTCAAGTGCCTCTTCTCGAAAATCCCCCGCGAGAGAAGAAGCGTCTGTCATATGAACTCTGAATAAATAAATAAATAAATAAATAAATAAATAAATAAATAAGTAACTAACTGAATAAATGAATGAATGAATGAATGAGTGAATGAATGAATGAATATATAAATAAATGAATAAATAAATAAGTAAACAAATAAATTAGTAAATAAACAAGTAAATGGACAAATAAATACATAATTGAATGGACAAATAAATAAATACATGAATAAACATATGAATAAATAAATTTGAACATCTGTGCACTTGATTTATAAATGAGTTTGTTGGAACTAACTTTAACTCTTTAACGAATTCAATTAGTTGAAGTTAAATGAAAATGATTTATTTATTTGAATAGATTTGTTTAAAAGAATTCATTTAAAAGAATTAAAATAAAAATAAAAAAACAAAATAAAGAAATCCGCACATGTGCTGCTCCTCCCGCAGCACAAGTGCTGCTTGGGACTGCAGCAGCGCTGCTGCTGCTGCTGCTGCTGCTGCTGCTCTTTGTTTTATTAATTTCTTTTTTTCATTTCTTATTTTTGTTGCATGCAAATGCTTTTCTTCTTTGCTGCTTGCGTCCAAAGAGACACGGGCCTCTTCAATGTCCTAAACAACACCAAAAACCCTAAACCCTAAACCCTAGGTCCTAAACCCTAAACCCTAAACCCTAGGTCCTAAACCCTAAACCCTAGGTCCTTAACCCTAAACCCGAGGCCCTAAACCCTAAACCCTGACAGCTCAAGTCCTTAAGTGCTGTCCACTAAGCCCTAAACCCTAAACCCTAAACTCTGGGCCTCAACTGCCAGACCTTAAAATATCAAGCCCACAACCCTGAGCCCTAAACCCTAAACCCTAAACCCTCTGCTTACGTTGATTTGAGATCTGTCGAAAAGCCATTCTTGATGCAGCTGCTGCTGCTCTAAGAGTAGTTTTTGTCTTTGTGCTTCTTCCGTTGCAATTTGTTCCCTCAGTTTGTTTGCCTGCAAATTAGGGTTTTCAAAACCCTAATTTGTGGTTTGTCAATTAAAATAAAATAATTATTTATTTTTTAAATTCAATTCACTAATCAATTCCCAACAACTAACCTAGTGGGGCCTAGCTATAATAATTACAAATTCAAACAGACAAGTAAACAAGTAAACAAATAAATAAACAAATAGACAAGCAAATAAATAAATAAATGAATATTTATTTAATTGGCTTAACTTTTAAATTGTACCTCTATTTCAAGTTGAGCGAGAGCCGCTTCCTCTTCTGCAATTTTTGCGTTTTTTTTCGTCTTTTTAATTTTTGTTTTTTTTTCACTTTTCGCCATTTTGGCGTTTCAGCAGGTGTACGTACAACCCAGCACAAGTGCACGCAATATTTGTCTTTCGAATTTCCGAAATTTATTTTCTTCGAAATTCAAAAGGCGCCAAACGGCAGCTTTTGAAAAGAAAGAAGTTTCCCAGTTACTCAATTTGGAGCCGATCTAGCCGGCGAAAAACTAGGGTTTGGGGTTTAGGGTTTGGGGTTTAGGGTTTGGGAACCTTGTGCAGAAACTAGGGGGAAAATGGACCAAAGGGATTAAGAGTAACCCGCAAAAAGGCAAAGATGGCGCTTTATAACTCCCCAAATGAATTTGCAAAAACGTATAAAGGGCCGGCAGAAGAATTTGCAAAACTTGAATTCTTGGATTCAAGGTCGGGTGTACGGACAGTTCAGCGTTACGAAGCAGCACTAAGAAGTTCAATTTGCGTCATTTTCCTCCGTTTTTGGATTTTTGACTTTTAAAAAGCCTCTTAAATAGACCTTTCCAACTGGAACTCGTAAATAATAGAATTTAAAAGTGGATTACGCGTTTTTTCGCCTTTTTCCGGCTTTCTGTCTTGCGGATCCTCAGCGCAAGGATTTGCACGTAGCGCGGCGTTTCCGGAAGTTTCTGAAACGCTGCAAATTCGAGTAAGTTCGCTTTCTTCTGCCTTAGCGCTTCTGCGGGAAAAAAGATTTTAATTATTTCCTTGAATTTCAAAAAGTGGAAAATTCAATTTTTGAAATGCCAGGTGTACGTACAGCCCCCGCTTGCCTTTTTGTTCGCGCTGCGGGGCTGCAGCCAGCCCCAGATTTGTCAGAAGAGCCTTCTAGGATGAAAGAAAGGAGTTTTTAAAATGAAATTGAATTAATTTTGAGTTTTTGTTGCATTTAATTCATTTTAATTTCCAAAAACTCCGGCGATCTACCCGCCGCGGAATGCTGTTGCGGCGGGTCCCGGGGCTTTCGGGAAGCCGTCGCCGCGGCGGCGATTGCCGTTTGAATTTCAAGTTTTTGAGTTCTTTTTCTTTTTCTTCTTTTAATTTTCCTTTTTTAATTCAGCTTCCACTTCTTGCCGCTCGAGATCGCCCGCAGCTTCCGCTGCTGCAGCTGCCCAGCGCTGCCCCCGCAGCAGCTCCTTCCGCACTTCAGCTCGTGGGAAGCAGCAGCAGCAGCAAGCAGGAGCAGCAGCAGCAGCCAGGCCGGAGCAGCAAAATGGCTATGCGCGCTGTGCGCAGCCGCCAGTCAGCAGCAGCAGCAGCAGCTGTGGGGCCGTACGCGCGGCCTGCTGCAGCGGGAGCAGCAGCAGCAGCAGCAGCAGCGGGACGCTCCCTGGTCTCAAGACCCATCGCCGTGATCGCCCGCAGCAGCAGCAGCAGCAGCAGCATCAGCAGCAGCAGCAGCAGCACTGCTGGCTTCCCGCTGCAGAAGAAATATGGACAACATCTTCTCAAAAATCCGGGAGTTCTCGACAAAATAATCGCAGCAGCAAATATCAACAGTTCAGATGTTGTTTTGGAGATTGGGCCAGGCAAGAAGCTTTGCTTTTAAATTAATTAAAAGAATCTTTTTTCGTTTTAATTAAATTAATAAAATCATCTTTTTGAATTCAATTCAATTAATCTTTGTTTTGAGTTAAATTCTAAAATAATCTGTTTCTTTTAAACTCAAAAAATACTTTTGCTGCACTTTTTTGTACTAATTCATTGTAGTGTACTTCACATCCTAGCTAGCCAGCTAGCTAGCTATATAACTAGCCAGCTAGCTAGCTATACAACTAGCTAGCTAGCCAGCTAGCTACCGATGTGGCTAGCTGGCTGCACGCAGATACTTAGCTAGCTAGCTGGCTAGCCAGCTCTTGGCAGATTTTCAGTCATTAAACTAGCTAGCCAGCTAGCCAGCTAGCCAGCTAGCCAACTAGCTAGCTAGTTGGCTAGCTAGCTGGCTAGCTAGCTGGCTAGCTAGCTGGCTAGCTAGCTGGCTAGCTAGCTGGCTAGCTAGCTAGCCAAGAACGTGAACACCTGGTGCAGCGTAGCGCCAACCAACCAGCACCCAACCAAACAAAGAGAAAGAAAAGAAAAAGAAAACAAAAGAAAAGAATAAAAGAGGCAGAAAAAACAAAATGAAAAATGAAATAACAAAAGAAATAAAAAAGAAAAGAAATGAAGTGTGCGCCGCAGGCACGGGAAACCTGACGGTGCGACTTTGCGCGTCGGCAGCAGCTGTACGTACACTGGAAATCGACGCGCGCATGGCCGCTGAGGTGTACAGACGCTGCAAGGGTTTAGGGTTTACGAATTTGGAAGTGGAAATGGGGGATTGTTTGAAGAAAGAGTTGGGGGTTTTCGACGTGTGTGCGGCCAACCTCCCTTACCAGATCTCCAGTCCTTTTCTCTTCAAACTCGCGGCCCACAAACACCCCTTCAGGCAAACCCTAAACCCTAAACCCTAAACCCTAGGTGTTGGGCTGTAGACCTCCCTTGCCAGATCTCCTGTCCTTTTCTCTTCAAACTCGCAGAACACACAAACACCCTTTCAGGCAAACCCTAAACCCTAAACCCTAAACCCTAACCCCATCCCCGCCGCCGCTGCTGCTGCTGCTGCTGCTGCTGCTGCTGCTGCTGCAGGTGCGCAGTGCTGATGCTGCAGGAGGAGTTTGGGGAGCGTTTGTTGGCTGCTGCGGGTTCCAAAAACTATTGTCGTTTGACAGTAAATGTAAATTTGTTTTTAAATGTTTCGAGGGTTTGCAAAGTGGACAGAAACTCCTTCCGACCTCCCCCCAAAGTCGACTCCGTGGTGGTCAAAATAACCCCCAAAAGAGAGGTTTTGCCGGTGGGCTTCGAGGGTTTAGGGTTTGCGCTTCGCCTGCCGCTTCCAAACCCGAAATTAGGGTTTGCAGCGAAAAAGCCGCAAAAAAAGGACACGCTCCGCGGCAGCCAGCCAGCGTGGCCTCTTTTTCGGTGTCTAGGGTTTGCAAACCCTAATTTAGGGTTTGGGTTGTTGAGGTGTGGCTTTGCTGCAGGTGGACTTCTACGAATGGAATGGTTTGCTGCGTTTGTGTTTTTCAAGAAAAAGAAAAACAATTAGATCCATTTTTAAACAACCTTCTGTTTTATCTTTTTTGGAAACAAACCACAAGTTGTTTTGTTCTTTAAACAAAAAGCTGCCTTACAGCAGCAGCGAGCTGCAGCAGCAGGTGGCAGCAGCAGCAGCAGCAGCAGCAGCAGCAGACAAACGCAGCGTCAACTTGGCTTCCAACGACTTCTTCTTGCTGCTCCTCGAGTTCCACAAAAGACACATTTACTTCTCCGCTGCTGCTGCAGCAGAACCCGACAAACAAAAACAACACGGTTAGGGTTTAGGGTTTAGGGTTTAGGGTTTTGGGTTTAGGGATGCTGCAGGAGGGGGCTGCGGGCTGGGCTGCAGCGTCTGCGGCGTGGGATTCAGGGTTTGGGGTTTAGGGTTTGGGGTTTAGGGCGTTGGGGCTAAGGCTTAGGCTTTAGGCTTTAGGGTTTAGGGTTTAGGGTTTAGGGTTTAGGGTTTGTGCTGCGGCTGCTTTCAGGAGTGGAGGAGATGTTGCTGGAAGACTTCGATGGCGACGAGGAGGACTCAGGAGATGAGAAATAAAATAAAAGAAAATAAAATAGTTAATTTAATTAATTTAATTGATTAAATTAATTAAATTAATTTAATTCATTCACTGAATAAATCAATAAAGACAAAGAAACAAACAAACTCTCGCTCTTGGTCAATTTTTAATTTTTATTTATTTTTCGTGTTTTGCAGACACGTATAATTTGCTGTGTCCGAGGGTTTAGGGTTTAGGGTTTAGGGTTTTAGGGTTTAGGGCGTAGGGTTTAGGGTTTAGGGTTTCGAAAGGCATACGCAACAGAACAGAACCGCTTCTTGAGTTTCCCCTCTAATTGATTTAAATTAAAATTAAATTAAACGAAAATTAAATTCAAAAATAAGAGAAATAAAAGAATTATAATCAATTTAAATAAAATAGAACGTCTCTCGCCGATCTACCCTAAACAAAAGGGGGCCCCCAAGAGGGGCCCCCAAGGGGGGCCCCCAAGGGGCCCCCAGAGGGTCCCCCAGGGATGTCCCCAGGGGGGCCCCCAAGAGGCCCCCAGAGGGTCCCCAGGGGGGCCTTCAGGGGGTCGCCTACGGGGGCCCCCAGGGGGGCCCCCAGGGGTTCCCCCAGGGGGGACCCCACGGGGTCCCCCAGGGGGGGCCCCGTGATGTCCCTGGGGGCCCCCAGGGGGGCCCCCAGGGGCGTCAGGATCCTCTCAAGTAGATGAAGAGGGGCTTCTGGGGTACTTCAATAAGGGGCCCCTAGAAAAGGCTTGGGGGCCCCCAAGGGGGCCCTTGGAGCAGCCCAGGGGGCCCCCGGGGGCCCCACTGGGCTTATTCTTGGGGGCCCCTGGGGGCCCCCGGAGCAGCAGCAAAAGAGGCAAAGAAGCAAAAGCAAAATAAAATAATACAGACAACAAAATGCCTTTCTTTATCCTCCACTTCTTCGAAAGATTCCCCCCCAGGGGGGCCCCCAAGAAGGCCTCAAAGGGGGGCCCCCAGGGCCCCCAGGGGGCCCCCCAAAGGATCTTTGAGGGCCCCCAGCAGCCCCCAGGAGGCCCCCAGGGGGCCCCCAAGGGGCCCCCAGGGGGGTATTTAATTATTTTGGCTTTGTGAACTCTGCATTTGGTTAAAAGGAAGAAATGAAATAAGATCTTTTAAAGATACTTTTAGACTTTAATCCAGAAGATGTGTAAAAATTAAATTAAAAGGATGAAAGAAGAAGACAAATAAATAAAGAAAAATAAACAAATTAAAAATGAATAAGTTAAGAATTTGAAAAGCTATTTTTATTTCTGTTAATGTTCCGTCGATGCTGATTAATTAATTTTTGATCAACTAGTTGATTAATTAGTTGATAAATGAATAAATAATGAATTAAGGAATAATGAATAAGTGATGATTGATTAATTAATTAATAAATGAATAAATAATAAATTAAGGAATAATGAATAAATAATAAATTAAGGAATTGAAGACAATCAAATTGACTTATTAATGAGACAGAAAGTACACCTGAAATCTCGAGCCACACTTCGAGAAAACTGGCGAAAAAAAGACGAAAAATATTAAAAAAAAGAAAAAAGAATGCAAAATTAATTAAAAATATATTTAAATGAATTACTAATCGAAGAAAGAACTCAAATGAATTCCCATTTGAACTCAAATTTGCAAAACTTGAAAACGCGCATCACCACAGCTCCAGGTGTACGTACACCCCAAGTGCCTGCAGCCTCCGCTTCCAAAATAACGGCTTAGACGCCAATCAAAACTTAAAATAAATCAAAATTCTCTTCATAAACATTTTAAAAGCTCTAAATAAATAAACAAAACACCAAGAAGGCCCCATGGAGGCCCCCTGGGGCCCCACCGGGTACCTTTGCAGGCTCGGGGGGCCCCCAGGGGCCCTCGGGGACCCCAGCCGTGCATTTGCGCCGTTTATGCTGCTTTTGTCGAGCTTTAGGCAAAACATTTGAAATTAAATACATAAAAGGAGAGATAAAGCAGAAAAAGGGTCCAAAGAAGCTTCCAAAAGGGTTCAAAGGAGCTTCTGGGGCCCCCTTCTGTCCCCCTGCTGTTGCTAGAGGCCCCCATGGGGCCCCCAAGTGACCCTCTTCAAACCCTTCCAGAAGAAGAAAGAAGAAATTTGCTGCTGCTGCTCACAGTCGATGCAATTACTCAACTCCTAGACACAGCCAAGGCCCCCTCAGGGGGCCCCCAAGGGGCCCCCCAGGGGGCCCCCCTGGGGGCCCCCCAGGGGGCCCACAAGGGGGCCCCGGGGGGGGCCCCCAGGGGGGCCCCCTCTAGGGTCCAAGAGATCAATGAACTTGCTGCTGCAGCAGCGCAGCAGCTGCAGCAATTCCGGAAGGAGCTGGACCTGCTGCTGCAGAAGCTGCCCTTGGGGGGCCCCCCTCCAGTACCCTCGGGGGGCCCCCAAGTACCTTCGCGGGGCCCCCCAGTACCTTCAGTGGGGGCCCCCTCGGGGGGCCCCCCTAGGGTTTTGCTGCATGTGTTTGCGGCCAGTTCTTTTTCGAGTTTGTCTGCTGCAGTTGAAGGCCTTTTGGAGCTGCTGGCGGCTTCGCTGGCAGCAGCAACAGCAGCAGCAAATAAAGAAAACAAAATGAATAAAATAAATGAAATAAATGAAATTAATAAAATAAGTGAAATAAATGCAGAAGAAACTGCTAACAAATACAACTTGGTCTTGAGCAATGTTGCAAATCTGCTGCTGCTGCTCGAGCT